TGTAGACTCAACAATCGCTCACCTGCTGCTAAAGCTCGGTCATATGCAAGGAATACTGAAACTAAAGTCAAACAAATTTTTAATTTCAGCCCACAGATTAAGTTTGAAACTAGGTTTTATGCATCTTGAAAGAAATGTCGCGTAGCAAAAATTCATCGTACTGCTGCTTACCGTTTTAATTTTTCAGCCGTGCTGGTAAGTCATTGCGCTTTCACTTAAGCTTTTTTAAACACAAATGAAGTCAACTTCAGCAAAAAATGATTTGAGTTTTTGTAAACAAATTACTTCCACACACAACCCCAATGATAAGTTGATTCTACTTCTTCTTCTTCTTTTGTTGCTACAGCTGTTCTTCACTTACTTAACGAATGATTTGTTCGCAGTAAAGAAAACCAAAAAGAAAACCTTGCTTAACAAAACAAAGTATTACGACTACTGCTACTTCTATTACTATTTTATCAAAGCCGAGAAAAAAATGTAGTAAAATATATGAAGAAAATAACCAAAATTTTTAAAGCGAGAATTTTAAAAGAATCGTGCAAAAGAAAATCGACAGGAAGTAAAGGAATGAAGAAGAAATTCTTTATTGTGTAAAACTTAAGCAAAACATTTAACTGAAAGGAGTACGGCGTGGAGATGTTATTAGTAGTAAAAGTAGAATTTTATGTTAAGCTGTTTTCTTCTTCGTTGCTTGTGGGGAAAATTACATTCTTGTGGTTGTGTTCGAAGAATTAAAATCCTTGTATGTTCTGTGCACACATGGATACATCTAATATTATACGTACATATATACATATACATTTGGCAGAGACTGGTAGTTAAATTTAACGAACTGCGAGCATGTAACATGTGTTGTATGTTTGCACTTTTAAGCCTGCTCGGTTGTGTGCATGTTCATACGTAAGTAGAGTGCAATAAAATCAAATTTTTTTCCGGTAATGAAATTTTCAATCGCTAGTTGAATGAAACAAATGATATAGAATTTATAAGCGGCTTGAAAGAATATGGAGCACACTTCATTGCAAAGAAACATTAAAGGGTTTGGCGGCTTAACTATACCATTGATAATTGTGAAAGGCGCCTACAGTTGTCGAAAATACTCGGTCATCAATGAAAGCCTCCCGATAAACGTCATACAAGTAAAGAATATTGCAAATCTTCTCTCTTTCTCGAGACTACATTATGAAGTTGGAAGATGGAATATAAATCTTAAACAATTAAGTGTAAGCGAAAATGTTGTCGGAAGGATGATTCTTGGGAATCATCAGGTCATTTAAAAACTCCTTTAGCAATAATAATTGCAACTATTGATTTGTATTTTATAATTTAGTGGGACGGACACTTACAAATCTATTCACGGCTCATAAAAAGGTCGAGGAAATTAAAATCAGTAGGTTTTAAGAGAGATATTATCAGCGAGTCCGTTAAGCTTCGGAGTGAAGTGAATTGTTTGGAAATGAAGAAAAAGAAACTAAATTCTCTAAGCCAATTGCATTGATGTCTATTGCATTTCTTTGTTGCTTACAGATTTCAATGCCTAACTTAGCGTGCTTCTCTTTTTGCCTAAAGAAAAAGCCATTTGGTTGAAAAACACACATAAAAGTTGATGGTGCGTAGAAATTAAGTGAAGGGGTCTTTAAATTTTTATTATTTTTCTTTTTATTCATGGTTGGCAGCAGTATATTTTGCACTTACACTTTTGTCTCTTGCAGTTTAGCAGTAACGTAAAACTTTTTTTATGGCTCATGATTACTTTAAATATGTTAATCAAACATTAAAATTGGAAGCATGTCGTTTTCTTCTTCCAAAAGAACATTTCTTTAATATATTAGCGTTGCGGAACCATGCTTTTAAAATCTTGGATGAATCGTTTAAAAATTTTTAAACTAGAAGTTTAATGTACGTTTTAACGGGTATGCTGTGTCTGTCTGTTGGTTAATGGATTTCGCAAAGTTCCTGAATATTTTGATGAAATACTTTCACGAAAGGATGGAAGCTACTATACTGTCGCTGGCTAATCAATATATGTTACCAAAAATATTGTAAAATATTGTAGAACTTGATAGAAAACATTTTGAATTATATACGTTGCACGAATTTTTTTTCAATAAATGCCTTTTCCAAGCGAAGAAATGCTCAATATTTTTGCAAACATCTAACAATATTGCTATTTAGTGTTTTTCAACAAACACTGTACTTATATGGTTTGGAAAGAGTGTCTTTGGCCACGGTTAAATGAACCATTTCATTGCAAATATTTCGACGCAATAGAAGTCACTCAAGAAACTTCTTTGGCTGCTTACAAGGCTATATTTAACGTTAACGGAAAAAGTTCAAATCGATGTTGGAGCCGAGATATTTGTTAAGAATTGTGAGCAAGATCAACAGCTTATACCAGCTATTGATCTTCGAATTATAAAATTATAAAAATGCTTTTTTTCAGCGTCGTCCAAAAGTTTGATTCTATTGAATATTTTGGGACGCTTAGAGTTAAGGAAGACGTTTGCGTATACCAGCAGTATTTTTACTTACATTCCGATATTATTGGGCCGATTGTTGTTATTTACTACTAAACTTAAATATTCACATCTATCTCTTATAGTCTTTGGATAATATAGTTCCGATCAGACTTTTTGATATTGTCTTTAACTAATCACTCTTGATTCTTAAGGGATTTTACTCTGAAATTTTTGTAAATTTTTACGCGTTTACTATAAAGCGCCTGATTGCTGGATCTCAAACTTAATGCTTCTTCTGTGCATTATTCTGACGCTCTGCAAGGGAAGGTAATAAAACACTTTTTCAGCCTTCGACAAACACTGGCTTATTAACGCAACAAGAACTTCGGGCAAACCATTTCATAATTCCCTACGTATGCTGAAGCTCTAAACGCGCAAGCATCTTTAAGAAATCCCTTTGAAAAACAATTGCTTTGAAATGCGAACGGTTTTAGCCAACGTGAGCTTGGACTCAGTAAATAAATATAATGCTTATATAAGATATGCGTTTTAACATCATATAAAGGATAATTTAATCTATAATACCTCAAAACTCTGTAGAGAGGTAGCCAATGGATGTTCAACAATCTCACTGCATAAGAATACTAAACACTGCATTATGCTTCAACCTGCTAAAACAAAACTTTAAGCTTCTACGGCTTGCCTATGTACATCAAAAATTGCACTTCTCCATACGGGCTGTGAGTTCAAGAGACCAACTGCAAGAATAGGTAGCTGGAGATTATAATGCTAATCATAAATATTTTTATAATATACTTCCCTAAGTATGACACCGAAAGATAGAGATTGTACTTTAGTAAGTTCCTGTTGGCCAATAAGTTTATTGCAAATATAATATTAAAGCATATTACCACACATCTAGAAGCCAATCCAACAGGCCCTTGCCATCAACGTAGGTAATCTCCTAGAATGAAAAGGTGCGTCGAATTGTAGCCGGTATTCGTAAAACTTGTAAAAATAAAGAATATTGGTCAGCTTTTTTTCAGATATATTGCAGACTTCCGATAAAGTATTTCACAAAGCCCCTTTTGGAAAAAATTAGGCGATATCTTCGTAGAAGCGCACGCGCGCTGCTCAAAAGTGGTCTTACCGATCGCATCATAGATTTCTTTTTCACGACCAGAAAACTCTTTACCAGAGTTCCACAAAAAAGCGTATTTTCTAAGTATATACAGCGGATATGGCAATCATCCAACGCAAGCACATACTTGTGTTGATGATAACGCTATTTTAAGTAATCGCTATAATCCCACGATAGCTTTGTCGTACGTACAAAGTGACATCAACATACGTGAAGAGTTTCTGGCAAGTGGAAGATCGAAATTAATCTCTCTAAAGGCTTTCATTTTACTTTTACTCTAATAAGGCAAATGTGCGCCCGTATGATATTTCTAATGTGGAATTGCCAAAGCAACACGCGTGAAATCCATTTAGATCGATGTCTTGCTTGATAGTATCACATAGAGACCAAGGTAACCCAAGTCAAATAAAAAATCAATGAATCGTGGTAGAATTCCAAACTGAGCTATAAAATTATAAAGCGCAATTGGTCTTCTGGTATAAAGCTACCCAGTACAGCTCGTGATTGAAGTATCAAAAAATACAAAGAAAGCTATGAGCAGTTCTTCGAACTGTAAGAGGAGCTCCGTAGCATCCGAGAAAGCATCCTTATAACTATCTGAAAATTGTTCTATACATCAACGACCTTATAATAAAATCTAGTACAAAATATATATCTAAAGTTGTAAGACATAAAAATCCTCTCCAACGCTTAATTTCAACAGGAGATAAAATGGTAATATAAAGATAAGCATGCGGCTGCAATCAACATGAAGGCTTCGGTGCTGGCAATGGACTTCAAGATCGCTGATTACTTGTGCAAAAATTTAATTCGTTCTGTTACTTTCAAGTTTACAAAAATTGAATGCATTAAAGGAAAAAGCCTTAAAGACAACAAGTTATTCTAAAATCCTACATTCGGCGGATCAAGACATACGTTCGATGATAATTTGCAAAAACTTATAAACGCCGCGAACTTTTAATCATTAGTTAGCTTGCACGCAGTGAATTTTAATGTTAATGCTTTGGAATTTTGAATAATTTTCTGGTATTAATTTTATTAAGAGAAAAAAAAATTTGAAAAGTTGAAAATTATTTATCATATTGCGGCAAACTGATGCAAATAAATTATATTTGCTCCATTTTACTGTATTATAATAATATGAATGAAAAATATGAAACAAAATTTATTCAAATGCCGCATAAGTATGCGATTTGTTATTTACCTGAATAAAGGTACAATAATAAAACTAAAATAAGTAAAACCGTGGCAACCTAATAAATAATCGTTCACCTATTTTGATTTTCTTTTTGTTTTGTTTATTAGAGGAAAAATTTCGATTTGCAAATATTTTACGATTGCATTAAAATTAATATGTAAAAATTTAAATATTCTTTTTTACTTTTGTTGTACTCGCACAGGTTCACCGCCGCCAACGGTAACGTGGCTTATGAATGGACAACTGCAGAACAGTATCGTCGATTATACGTACGATGGCACCATAAATAGTAAATTAGTTGTACGGAATTTGTCACGAATACACCAGCATGCTGTCTATACGTGCCAGGCGAGCAATTTTCACAAGAAATATGTCTCCACCAATATAACCATCGAATTGTATTGTAAGTATATATTATTCGTTTTTGTTATTATTGTATTTTATGAACCCACACATATCTATTGCTGCTTAGTGTAGAGAGAAGGAGAGCACTGAATACCTTCGCTGCGAGTAAATATGTTTAATAAAATATTTGGTTTTCATACTTGGTTGTGGTTTTCATAAATTGTTCATATGTGAAAGCCATTACAATGCCATTTTATGGCAGAAGCATAACAAAGAAATATATTGAGATAGAAACAGAGAGCAAAACTCCACTTTAGGTAGAATGTAATGCTGGTGTGTACTTTATTATGAACTCTAATAACCACACTAGCATTTAACGATGTCTGTGGCAATACATAGTATTGTATAATAAATAACCGCCAAAGCGCCATGAATTTATTTGGGAAGAAATTTCAAGACTTTAAATATGTCAGAATGTGCACGGGCGTTAATGTGAATGCTTGTAACAATTTCTCTCGCGCGTTAAATAAGTAGTTTCAACAAATATCAATATTGGGTCGCCCCACAAATTATCGAATACTAAGAAAAGGCAGGAGAAAGCTCTTAACTTGCAAGTGCAAATTTTTTAGACAAACGGTTTAGTTTACGGGAAATACAATGCTATTATATACAGAATTTGTGGCAAGGGTTTAACGTGGGTTTCTGCCTGAAAGGCTTAACCCCACGGTGGCCCAAGCCACTTTTAAGCGTACTACGCCCCCTGGCGAGTTAGACAATCCCCACAGAGTAGGGGCCTAAACAGCACCAGAGTCCAGATCAGTTTATTGTGTATGGAACAATAAACCCCACTCTGGTGAATGGCGAGGCCTAGCTGCACTCAATTGTTCCATTTTAGCTAGGAACTCGCCAACCACAACCACCACGAGTACTCCCCGAAGGGCCGCACCCAAGCAGTCAGGACTCACAAATTGATCAACTGACTGCTTCCGCCATAAGGCTTCCACTGTGCTGTTGATCAATTACCACCATTACCCGCAGGCATCCGTGACATGTGTTCAATAGTAAAAATAGGTAAAAGGGGAAAACTTATTCGTCATATCCCTTTTCCATTTTTGCATGTATTAATTAATTTACCAGACATTTTCTATCAATCGGCCAAAGGGAAGGCCGTCCGTCAATTCCTTTTTGCATTAATAGTATAATTAATTTATTTATTTATTACGACTTAAGGACAAAGTCCATCATATACCCGCAGGCATACGTGGCTTTGTGAGGCGAGCTTCCTGACCCCCGTGGCTCCCAGTTTGTTTTGCAAAGCCTTATGGCATACTTTGGGCGGTTGTTAAAAACAACCGTACTTGCTTCGGATTCTCCATACTTTCCTGGTTGCCAGCCCCAAGTGAACTACTTTTCTTCAAGATATATAGGTCTCGGGTATTGCACTGAACATGGTAGACTAGTCTAATGCACTCTACCATGCACTCGCTAGATTACTACCTTCATTGTACTTAAATACCATTCAATATATTTCCTCGGTAGTAACTAGCTTATTGAGTAAGAGCTCTTCTTCCAGCCAACCCCTCCACCATCTTTCAGAAACTCGTCGCCGAGTTAGCAGCCCAAAACCTTAAACTCTTCTTAGCCGGCCGAAGCCGTTGCCCGGGGATCACCGCTGGGAGGTCAGAGTTTCGGCACATCTATGCTTCTCATCAAAGCATAGTTCATCTCCCCGCTATTATATACAGCAACATACGTGTCAAGCTTTTAGAGTGGGCTTTTCCAAATTCCCCTTGGTCTCACATATTTCGTCTCACATACATTCTGAAACAGCCCACTGATAATTTCTTCATCGTCGACCAGTACGCAGGAAAGCGCTACTCATCCTTAGCTACTATGAACAGTATGTCTTATATCTGTTTCTTCGACGTAAGGCCCGAAATTTAATTACAAAATTTCTCGTCTCGCTTTAAATATTTTTACTATTATGGTTGTAGTTGTGACGTTTTCACTTTAAGGCTTCATATATTGCTTTTGGGTGACTGTTCCGCGCTTGTGGGGTGTACTTTCTTCTCTTTACAACACATATTTTCTCGCTTAATCTTTGTATCTGATTGGGTCACATGTTTTGTTAGAGCTAACTTTGTTTCGAATTTTCATAAACAATTTCGTTACACGTTGTCACAATTGTAATACTCATTTGTATGCTGACAGTGTTTTATTGGCTGGCTCGGCACTAGAGTTTATCAGTGTGGGAACAATACTCGAAATCATTCTCTGTCTAAATAGAAGCCAGTAACAAATTCGGCAAGTACGTCTACAAAAAACTTAAATATGATAGAATATCATAGTCCTCCTCAAAAGTTATGTATGCAAGGTTACTGATTATCCTAAATATTGTAAATTGGGTTTTTATTCACAAGATTATTCGTAATCGTATTCCGAGATATTTGTGCGATTAACATAATTAACAAGTAACTTTTGGGTGTGTTACTTAGGCCGAAAATGTAAGTTTAAAAGTGACATTGCTCTCATTCCCTATTGAAATCGCTACAGAAATATCATTACTCATTTTTTGTGCCATGAAGTAGATGATATCAAGTTGTACGATGCAAAAAGAAATATTGCAACACGCCACACATTTTGGGGCTTCATCAATTTGTTGCGAAAAAAGCTTGACGACCATGTAAATTCCAAAGCTGCTTATGGGAGCTGGGACTTTTTGTTTTAAGTTTATGTTTGGGCATTATAAACTCCTATAAACCACAAAACCTCACTAAGAATTGGTTCTTCAGGATTAACTTAGTGGCGGTTATTTCTATAAAGTCATTTCTAAATAAAAATTGGCATGAAGCAATATCTAAAATAAAGAAGTTTATGTTTATATCTTTTACCGTTCAGTTTTTATTCCAATTTGTAAAAGTGTGGGCATAAGACCATTGCTTTCAATGAAAAGCGAAAGAGAAGAGAGAACCTGATGATATATAAATTCTACAAATGAATTGTCGCACTAATTTCTGGGAACTAACGAAGATGTCGCCGATACTAGATTACACACAGAATTGGAGCTTGATAGCTTTTTCTTTGCTGGCATTGCTGGAAGAAATGTTATATTAAAACAATCTCTTAATAACGTACCTTTAATATGCTGCATTTTTTTAATTCGGCATCTTTTTTTTTACTCTTTAAATTGCGATATTGATAAGCTAACTATCCCTTTTTAGTCCCAAATTGATATTGAAGAGTTAAATTGTCACTGCTATTTCGAAATAGCAAATTTGAGATTAGGTGAGAAATACACTGGCAAGCAAACACAAAGATGCATTTTATGACAGTTGACAGATGGCAATGGCGTAATAAGGCCGAACGTTACAAAGTTCGTTTATAATAGGTGCTTAGGTATAGAAGATGCGTTTGGCTGGACACGTATTTTATAAAGGCAGTTCTGAAGTTTTATACCAGAAGCCTATGGCCCCCCGTTTGGAATACTACGGTAGGGTGAAACTGTTATGCAAGATTTTATTGGTGGACTAAAATTAAGGAGTTTTTAATGTTTAGATTAATGTTACTAACATGTTTTATTTAGAATAATCAAATTCTTTCATCCTTTTTGTTATCTATTATTCTCTAAAAAAGCGATGATGAGCCTTAACTAAATTTAAAAAAATATTGTATAATTCATATAAATTTAAACTTTAGTAAATATTTGGTGGCCTGGGTGTGGTTGAGTTTTTCTAGGTTATAAGCGCTATAGAATTGTCCACGAAATCTCTATTGTTGTATGTGTTCTAATTAAATTTAATCAGTCTTAATTTATGACTAATGAGCAAAAATCCACTTCCTTACCTTTGAGAACAGTGTTGTTTTGCGTCCTCTGGCCAATTTGATCCGTAGTGGCCTTAGAAACAGACACAGACACAGAATTTGTTGGCAAAGCTGAAACCGATATCTCAATATTTGTGAACGAAATAATTTTTAACACGCAAAGACGCAGCGGCGAGCAGGGGGATGGACAGAGGCATGCAGGTCGCCCAGAGTTCAATACTAATTTTAAATATTTAAATTTTGTGTTTGTTGAAATTTCTGTCCGAGTGTTTCAAACGTTTTGATGAAACAAATGTACCCATTCTAATGCTCCAGTCATGTACATAAAGAGGTTTCACAAAATATATGTACGCTCATAAAGACAAACACAATTTGCATATCGTTATTTTTATTCGAGTTTATAAAAAATGCGCAAAAAGTCTAAAATCATTGCTCATGAACAATAAATATTGTGTTAATCTATATTTATATAAATCTATATTTGACAACAAGTTATGTTTACTAAAACCTCAAAAAATAGAATGTATAAACATTAACCATTTTTAACATATTGCTGCTCGGGGGGAAAGTGCTCTGCTTTTTTGTTTTGTTAGTTTTTGCTTTTCTTTTTAAAGTTGTTTAGCGATAATCGTTTTAACAAATAGCTATTCAGATATCAAATAACTAAGTGTAAACCTACTCTATACACTTGCGTATGCATTGTCATACAGAATAACATGCAAATAAGCAGGAGGAGAAAGACTTTCTCCCTGAAGTATAAATAAAATAAATTTTAATACATATACATACACACGCATTACGAGGCATACGAACGCTTTTGTTGATAAGCAAATAGTTGATTTTGCATTTACTTTTCTTTCTTTCTACACGCATACAGTAAAGGCTATTTTTCAGGCCAAATGTAAGACGAAAGCGACTTATTAAATTTTCGATCCGCCTGAGTGGCCGAGTAGGCAAGAGTATCGACTAGCAAGTCAATGGTCGTGGGTTCAAATCTCAAGTGCGGTAGAGTTTTTAATAAAAAAGTCGAAAGCCTTAGATGCTAGTGCTTTAAGACTTTAGTCTTACAATTTATTCTCTGGCTAAGTTTATAATAATAATAATAATAATAAATTTTCGAATAATTTTGAAAAATATCGAAATTCGCACAAAGATATTCGGGCTTGTAACTAAAGAAAAAAACACACTTTTAATTGCCATATTCGGACGTATTTTTGAAAAACACCTCCGTTTAAT